CAACAGAAAGAAGCCAGCTAATGAAACTTAAAGAATTATAAAACGAAAATTCTCGAAACGATTAGTCATTGAACATTAAATAATACTAATGAGTCAATTCTGTAGGAAGTGAACATATTAAAAACATACTAAAAAAACAATGAACACGTAGGAAATGAACATACATTCTTCTAATTTTGTTGTTGCCATTAATTGACCATTATCCCATAATTTATTTGCTTTATAATCTGTGATAACCTCTGTAACTGAAATTTATGCTACGATTAGTCTGATAAAGGTTATTGAACAAGAAAGGAATCTTTAAGACATGGAATGGTTATTACTATCGTCTAAACTTATCAGTCCTTAACAATAAAAGTCATTTGAAATGTTGTTTCCATCTTTTGAATTTCTCCCAACCAAAGCAGTGAAGTGATAAGATAACTCTTTTTTCTATCGCAAAAGTAAGAGCCAGTGGTACTCGAACTGGTGCAATTACCATTGAAATAACCTCTGTCATTGAATGCCTTTTTACAAGAAATCCCAAACAAAAAAGCTGGAATGATGTAGAATGCAATATATACATAGCAGATTTGTATTTTTTTTTTTTTTGGTAAACAAAATTAGAAGGATAAAAAAGTTGAGATGCATACCTTGTACTCCATTTACCATATTTGGTGGTGCTGCTGGATTTGGGTTGGCTGCTTGGCAATAAATGAAGAAAGCAATATGTACTATTAACTTTGCCATATTTAAAATTGTTTGTATAATAATTTCGATGTTTTCTAAAGACAAGTTTTACTTTATTAAAAAATAACAGCCATTTTAAAAAGAATCTTAATTGAAGCTTAGTGACATTTTCTAAAACATTAGAAATGAGAAGTGTGCAGGAAGTGGAAATTTGGAAAATTCCACATTTTATTAACAGATTTTTATTTCTTTTTACGGTTAATAGATTTTCGGATTGTAGATGAAGTGATTGTGTTTCCGTTTGCTATTACTCCTAGTTTATGTTTTATTAACCGATCAGGTGGATTGCCATCTGATGATTAATAGTATCAAAAATTGGTTTCAGCCAAAACTTAGCACACATATCTTCTGCAACCTATTGATTGTTTGGAAAATATCTCAAATCCATTTCATGACATTCAGAAAAATATGCAGAAGAATTTGAAAAATTCAAAAAAACTACAAAAGAATTCAAAAAATTAACATTTAATTCAGCTTTCATTATTGAATTCGAGCACTCACTTCACATGACATGATAATCAGATAAATGTCATCTGGTAAGTTACCGCTGCTAGGATAAATACTCGGCATGTTAATCTTACAATTCATTGTAAGGCAATAAATTAATTCTTGAACTATGTCATTTAAAA